TAGGGCGCGTGCACTCACCAGACAGACAGAGAGAGACATAGAGACAGAAAGTGAGAAATCACCCCCCAGGAGGGATGGTCACGCCACAATCCCTTCTCCTCCATTCTCCTCTCGGGATCTTGGGCATGCACACACACGCGCCCGGCGTGAGTTTTAAGCCACCGGGTCCAGGACACGAACCGCGGTCGACTACGTGGGAGTCCAGCGACATAGCCATTACACTAACTGCTGGTTCCCAATCCTGTTTAATTTTTAAAGAAACTGCCAGACTGTTTCCCAAGCAGCTGCATCATTTTACATTCCCACCAACAGTGCACAAGGGTTCCAATTTCTCCACATCCTCACCAACACCTGTTATAGTCTAGTGTGTTCTGCAATCATTGCCAAATCCAATGCCATGGGCATTCCCCCTAGGTCTTTTCTAAGAGTTTTATAGTGTTAGCTCTTACATTGTGGTCTCTGATCCATTTTGAGTTCATTTTTGCACACAGTGGAAGGTAAGGATCCAACTTCCCTCCTTTGCATGGGGAAGTCCAGTCTTCCTCGTACTTTTTGTTGGTCTGGGCTGACTTTTCACTTCTCATTCTGACAGTGAGAATTCTGGCTCCCATCTTCCACAATGCTTTTACTTATTTGTTCAATCCGAGTGTGTGTAGGGTCAGAATTGCTAGCCCTGTGAGAAATACACTTACCACCTAGAGTTCAGTGTTCATTTATAGCGGTTTTTGTTCTCGGCCTTACAGTATCTAGACAAAATGGTGTTGTCCCAAATCTCTGAGATCAGCCTCTTTCTTCCTGCCCCTTTCATTGAGTGATGTCATACATTTGTAATTCAATTAGAATCCGTTGTCAGGATGGCATTCCATCCTGGGTTCCCCTGACATCTGGCTTCTTTTTTTCCTTTACGACAGAGAGGAGAGGGAAACAGCTCAAAGGAGGAAAAGGAGAGAGGCGAGATAGGCATCTTTGACTGTGTCTCCCTGAGTTTGATCTTCTCGCCCCATTCTCTCAATGAACTGGGATGACAAGTGCCCATAATGATGCCTGGCATTCGTACTGGCCCAGGAAATGAACCCGGGCCTCTCATGAGACTTCCAATCTCCTGAGCTACCTGTGCGTCACCACAGCTGGGCTCTTGACTGGTTTTCAAAAGTTGCCTACGGTAAAGTTTGCTCTTTGTGATGTGCGTATAGTCCCTGGGTTTTGACAGACCCAGAGTCTTGCACCAGCCTCTGCATACGCAGAGCACTTCTGTCATCCTGACCAGCCCCGTGCTGCCCCTTGTCATCAACCTCGCCCCCTCCCCTGGCAACCACTGTCCGTGACCTGCTTCTCTGAGATATTGTTCACATCCTGTACAATGTACTCGTTTAAGGTATACTTCAATAATGTTTCGGTATATTACATTACCCATTTAAAAAATATTTATTTATTTATTTTTATTTGTTATTATTATTATTATTATTTTTATTTTGAGGAGAGAAGGAGAGAGACAGAGAGAGAGAGAAAGTGAAAGAGCAAGCTGCCCGGT